ACCTGAAAGTTACTCCAGGCCTTGGGAACTGCGTCTGAGGTAGGCACAGAAGGTACGTCTCACGGATGACTTGGAACTAGAAATGGGCTCTGTGTGAAACCAAAGGCCAGCAACCAGGTGCTAGACACAGGCTGGAGTTCTTGACCACCAGACCAGGGCTGGCGCTGAGGAGAGAGTAGTCTTCCTCAGACTGGGGTAGAAACTGAAATCCTCATCCGTCTACTTGTGGGAAGGTGGGGACCTAAGTCAGACTTTCCTCACAGTGTGACACCCAAGCTGAGAAGCAAATATAAATCTTGCTTTCAGTTTTCTTACTGTTAAAATTGGGATAATAATCGTGGTACCTACACTTTGGGTCGTTATGAGGTGTAAATGAGTTTTATCCCATGTAACACATTTAGAATAATCCTGGAACAAAGTAAAAGCTCAATAAATGCTAGATGTTTGTTCTCAATAAATGCTAGGTGGCACTTTGCCTGGTTCAACGAGCTGAAGCAGTTTCAGCTATCAGAAAAGATGGAGCCATCAGAGGAGAGAGGCCTAGGTGAGTAGGAGTCAGGAGGAAGGAAGAAGCCATATCTAGAAGGGAATACAGGAACAAAGGCTGGGGCAAGTCTGATCAGAGGATACGCCAAGTGGATTGTTATTGGTAAATGCCACTGAGTTGATTCCAGCCCAACCCATAACAACCCTATATAGGGTTTCCAAGGAGCGGCTGGTGCGCTTGAACTGCAGGCTGTGGGGTTCAAACCGATTTTGCAGTCCAGCTCATTAACCCACAGCATCACACCAGGACTGGATATCTAGGTGTTATTTAAACTCTTAAAAATACTTTAAAAACACCCACAGCTAAACTCTTGAGGGAATGAGTTGTAGAACCTGGAGGCTCAGGACCAGGGTCTCAGGGGACACCAAGATCAATGGGCATTGTCCACAAAAACAATGGTTTTCATTGTACTTTGATGAATCTTCAGAGCTCATGAATGACCATTTAAGGTGCACCTATTGGTCGCTTCTTGTCTTGAGGAAAGAAGAGTGAAGAAAATAAAAGCCACATGGAAACAATTAGTCTGATGGATTAATAGACCACATGAATAAGCCTCTATGACCTTGTGACCAGAAGAACTAGATGGTGCCCAGCTTCCACTACCAACTGCTCCGAAAAGGAGCACATGAGAAGGTCCTGGATGGGGGGGAGAACAATGCAGAACAAAACTTAAAATACACATGAAAACATACCAGGCTTACTGGTTAGACAAAAACTGATGGAACCCCTGAAATGCTGGCCCTTAGTCACCCTTCAGGTCTGGAAATGGCTCAATTTTCAATCAGACGATAGGTCTACAAGGGGGACAGTCACACCAGGGAGGTGCACCTTAGAATGCTCAACCCTTTGAGAACAAAAGGGCAGCGTTTACCCAAGGGCACAGTTCAGAGGGTTAGGAAAGGAGGGATGGAAACAGAAGACATAGGGAGGGGCTGAGGCTAAGATGTCATCGCTGTCGGTCTGATTGATTGATTGATTGACAGAGACCGGGAGCCCTGGTCCTGCATCACATTGCTATACTGTTCAGTGTGACTTGAGACACCGGATGGCAGGACTTCCCACCAGGTAGGACAGCAGGTCACCCTACAACAGGAACAACCCAGGCCCGCCTTCTGGACAAGCAGAGCTGCTTGGTCTCCAGATCCTTGGTCTTTGCATTTCTGGCATGGGTGCAGTTCCACAGACAAGAGATATTCACCAGAGTGTGGTCACTGACCATCTGAGCAGTGCCCAGCCTGCTGTGTTCAAGTCCACTGTGCTTCCAGCAGCTGAGGCCAGCATGTGGTGGTGGCCAGGCTAGATGACCTTGTCAGTTAGGTCTCGGTGCTCTCTGTGGTCCATGATCTTTGGTGTTGCCTGCTGCACCATGGGTATGTGGCTGGTACACTCACCAACAAGATGGACCCTGCACTCCGAAATGTGTATGATGGGATGCCTGAGCCCTGGTGTCGATGGGAAGCTGCGCCTATGGTGAGGCTATTAACCACTACTGGTACTCTTTGGTGAGGCACTGTGACCGTACTGTGTCTGTGGACATCTATGTCCCAGGCTGCCCGCCCATGGCCGAGGCACTGCTCTGAGGCATCCTGTAGCCACAGAGGAAGATCAAATGGCTGAGGCTCAAAATCTGGTACACAGGGAGTGTGATACAGTGAGTGTCCACACTGACCGTCCATGTCATCCTCCTGACAGTGTTAATAAACCCAGTCCACCGCCTTCCCAAACCAAAACACAGGGAGGAAGTGGGATAAGTGAGGTTACATTGTGGGGCTTCAGTCAATGAGATGAAACAAAATGTGCATGAATTGTGGAATGGAAAACTGATGTGCTTTGTAACCTTCACCCAATTCACAGTAATGATAATAATGACAATAAAACAACCAACAAAACCCAACTGCTACAACACAGTGACAATAGCTCCCACTCAACAGTGTTTGGATGTGCTTTTCTACTTTTTACCCTTTAGCTCCTTTGATTCCCACAACTGGCCTGTGAAGAGCAATTTGGATCCTGATTTTCTTTCTTTCACTGAGAAATTCAGCTCAGAGCTGTGACTTTCTCAAGTTCTCACAACTCTGGATGTGAAGTCAGGTTTGTGGAACCCATTCTGGTGCTCGATGAAGCACAGACAGCCTATCACAAAGGGAGTCACCACATGGACCATCTGCCATCGTGGGCCCAAAGTGCTGGGCAGAGTGTGTCCTGAAAGTCCTTCCTTAGGCCCCTCCTCTGCGAATGTGGAACAGAGGAGACACAAGGTACAGCCCCTTATACTGGACACTGTCTCTAGTTCCCCTCCCTGCAAGTCGGGTGCCTGAGCCTTGGGCTACTGGCAGTCAGACCCTGAGTCCATTTGCTGTTGAGTTCTGGCAAGTTGGTTCTGACTCATGGCGACCCTGTACAGGGTTTCTGAGGCTTTAACTCTTCCGGAGCAGAAATCCTCTTTTCTCGTGCTTGAACTGCGGACCCATTGTTTGTAGTCTGGTGCTTATTGTACAGAGCCACCACGCTCCCATTGAGCCCATGAGCCCTGTAATGTTCTGGGGTGGCAACACCACGACAGGGAAGCTACCAGACAGGGATGGGGCAAATAGCTGGCCAGGGCCCGATAGAGCCGTGTCAGTGCTACTGGTCCCCCAAGAGACAGAACCGCAGTCTGTCACCAGGCCGTGGCTGGCAGCTCCCCACCATCCCTCATCTGACTGAGGCTGGATACAACGCTGGAAGCAATTCCTAACCATTCCAGAGAGAAGGCACCCTCTCACCCTTCCGCTTTCTCAGAGTCTCATTCACACTTACCTCCACCTGCTGCTCCTGCCTAAAACAGGGGTGGTTGGTCTGGCTTCCAAGATATTCTGCCCAGGAAAATGGCCACTCGATTTATGTGAGAAAAGAAAGCTACAGATGTGAGCATCTACAAACACCTGCATGTGAGATCCAGACCAGGGTCAGCAACCGTGATGCTGCGCAGTACCAGGAGCTGCTGTTTTCTTGTGCACAGACTCGCTATGAGTTGGAACTGAGTTAACTGATGGCACCTACACCACCACTAGTTTTATTAATAATCTTACCAAACTTGAACACCCAACAGGAGGATAAACGATGGAACAGTACTCAAGAACAAAAAGTAATGAAGTAATGATTCACACAACAGCATGGATGAATCCGCATCATTACATGAAAGAAATCAGGCTCAAAAAGCTATATATTGTATAATCCTATTCGCGCAACATTATGGAAAAGGAAAAACAAAAGAAAACAAATTATAGGGACAAGCAACAGACCAGTGGCTGCCAAGAGTTAAGGGTGCAGGAGATTCCCTGCCAAGAATATATGTATATTCTTTATATTTAAAGCAGTGACATAGGATCTCAGCTTATTGGGTCCTTGTTTTTTGTTATAAAAATACAAATGATATAGCTGTTGTTTGTACATTGCTGGATTCCCCTTTCTCAGCCCCCTCCCTCATGAATAACCTCACGGAAGTGGGGTGATCGCCAGTCTTCTGTGGGTGATGGGAGTTGGCGCCTTGATTGTTGTGGAAACCACATGACCTTGTGCATTTGTCAAAACACATGAAACTGTACTTCAGTGAGTGAACATCACTGCATGGCAGTGAAAAATATACTTCTGTTTTCAGGAACAATGAAATGCTGAACTGTAGAGTGGTGTGGAGGCAGGAATTACACCCAGACACACACAGTATTTTATAAGAATCCCCCGCCACCTCCCAGCTCACTTTATTCAGTAACAGATGAGTTTGCTGTTCTCAAATACGTCCGATGAAATGGTTTGGAATTCAATGGGCTCTCACTGCACAGAGTACATCTGGCTTCCTACTTGCCTCTTAGGAACGACACAAGTCTGTGTCAGAACCAAGTTGAGTGACCCAGTGTTTGGGTGCCTGATAATATTCAGGAAAAGTCTACAGAAACTCTGTCTTCCATGGAATCCTGTGCCAGAGGGAATGCTCAACTCAAGTCCTAGAACGACTCTCCCCAAGGTTCTCCATGAAGCTGACCTGGAGGAACTTTAGGGTCTTTTGGCTAGTGTTCACCTGAAGGGGGAGTCCTGGTGTGGTGCTATAGGTTAATAGCTAGACTGTAAAGTCATGTGAACCACAGGGACAGTGGTACAAGCTCACCAGCCGCTCCTTGACAGCACTTAACAACAACAGCTGAAGGGACCTGTCTTGGTGGCTTATGTTCTTGCTTTCCAGGGAAGGCCAGCTTTCTGTCAAGCTCTGAACATCTGCTGGCTGCATGTTTCTCAGCCATATGCATCATGAAACCACGGAACCTAGTGATGGTTTGTTCCTCTTACCCTGATGTTGTGGAAAGACAGACGACAGTAATCTCAGATGGGGGAAGATCAGAGCCAGAGCTACAAGCAGGCTTCTGTCTTGTCCACAGTAGTCTTGTTCTAAAGAAAAATGACACTACAGGCCGATTTTGCTCATCAACAACTTTTATTTTTGTTCTCAGTATGTGCCCTTGAAGATTCCAAAATGTCTGGAGTTTCTGATTCTCCTGGGACCAAAGGTAGAAGCATTGTGTGGGAACACTCGACCTTGGCTCATTACTCTCTCCTGAGGAGCTAAGTCAGAAGGCCTCGGAGGGCGGGGGTGGACACTCACAGCTTATTCCAAGATGGGTAACACAGTGAGCAAAGAATTAGGAAAACATAGTCTATAGAGGGCTTCAAATATACATGTTCTCTATATATAAACCTGTTATATAGGATTTCAACTTATTGGTTTCCTTGTGTGTTGGAATTAAAATACAAATGATATAGATGTTGTACACTGCTGTTTTCCCCTTCTCAGCCCCCCTCCCTCCCCAACATAAATAACATGACAAAGGTCAGGTGATCCTAAGAGTTTTTGCTGTTGTAGATATTGCTTTTAAAATTATTTCCCCTATCCTCCCCTGCAAACTACCTCTGAGAGTTTGTAAATAGCAGCATGGAACAGACACGACAGGGGACAAGCATGGAGATCTAATGGGGAGAGTGCAGAACACTGCTTCTCACTGACTGGCACCAGGCGGGCTTTTGCATTTCCATTGACAAGGGAGGCTACGGCAGGAAGCAGAGAATGTGCAAAGCACTTTCAGCCTCGTCCAATGAGGAGGGGGCTGGCTGGACCACTGAGAAAAGCCCTAGAGGCATTGAGGTTTCAGAGACGGAGCACAGCTCCAGAGAGATCTTGGCTCAGTATTTACACAGTATCTTTAAGCTGCACTTTCCTTTTGAGAAATCTTTGTTTCTGAAGACACCTTTTCTGGGGATGGGTAGGGAAAATAAGGAACTTAAAAGCCAAACAAAACAAAAATAAACCAATTCCCACATATTTCAAAGTTCTGTTTGTTGTTACATCTTACTCAGTTATCTTCACACATGTCATTAAGAGTAGATACTGACAATGACTGGCTTTTTTTTTTTTTAAGAGGGTGAGAGAAAGTGAGGGCGAGAAGAGAGGAGGAGCGCATCAGGGAGACCGCCTTCCCTTCTTCAGCATCAAGTGGCACTGGATGGTCTGAATCCGATTCTTCGCTGGGACAAACTCAGGCTGCAGCTTCAGTGTCGACTCATACCAGACCAGTGCTTTCTCAAACTCTTCCTGTGGGGGGACAAGGGACAAATGGGAGAGGGATGTTACTGTTAGGTGCCATCGAGTCGGTTCTGACTCATAGTGACTCTGTATAAGGTTTCCAAGGAGCAGCTGGTGGGCTTGAACTGCTGACCTTGTGGTTTGCAGCTCAGTGCTGATCCTACAGCACCACACCAGGAGTCCTACCAGACTAAATACACAAAGGAACTTCTAAAAGTTGTGGAAAAACAGAGCTGAAAGATACAAATAAAAAAAAGTAAGTTTTATTTCTCACTACCAGCTCCATCAACGTCAGGATACTTTTGTAAGTGTTGACACCAGCTACTTGTTACTGTCGCTGTTGTTAGGTGCCATCGAGTTGGTACCGACTCATAGCGACGCTATGTACAACAGAATGAAACACTGCCCGATCCTGGGCCAACCTCACAATTGTTGCCCCACTTGAGCCCATCAATGCTGCCACTTGGCCAATCCATCTCACTGGGGGTCTTCTTCTTTTTCTCTGACCCTTCACCTTACCAAACATGAGATCCTTCTACAGTGACTGGTCCCTCTTGACAATATGTCCCAAGTATGAGAGACAAAGTTTGGTCATCCTGCTTCCAAGGAGCACTCTGACTGCACAGATCTGATGGTTCTTTTGGCACTTAGTCCCTCCCCAAAGAACGGAGGGTCCTGGGACTCTCACCATGACAGTGTAGTCTTTTCATCATCAGAAAGTGGAACAAAGTGGGTGTACTTTTAAGATTTTTTAAGACTAGGAAAGAAAAAGAAGTCAGAAGGGGTTCCTCTACAGCACTGGCAAAATTGCCCTTGTTTGATGAGAGCCGTGAGCAGGAATACTGGTGGAGTGAACAAGGGCTCTCTGGTGACCACTTGGCTCTCTCAAAACGCTCTCATAATAAGCAGATATTGTTCCTTGCCCCCTCCAAAGTTAACCAGCAAAATACCTGGAGTATCCCCCAAACCTGTTGCCAAGACCTTTTGTTTTGACTGGACCACTTCCACCTTAGAGACCACTGCTTTGATTGTGCTTTGTCTTCAGGATACTGGTAAAGCCATGCTTCGTGTCCTGTGCAATTCTACGAAGAAATGCTTCCAGACCTTGAACCCACTTGTTTACCATTCCCATTGAAAGCTCGGCTCCTGTTGGCAGCTGATCTGGGAACAACAGTTTTGGCACCCAGCAAGTGGAAAATCTGCTCAATTTAAATTTTTAGTCAGAATTCTGTAAGTTGAAAACAACTGAGATGTCTATGGTGTTGGCTGCTGTTTCTGCTGTTAATCGTTGGTCCTCTTCAGGTAGGCACAAACAAGCTGGCCTGCCGCTTCCAACAGTCTCGCCCCTTCTGAAAACATCTGTAAACTGCTGCATTCTTTGGGGCATGAGCCTCACACATTTTTTGTGAAGCATCAGTGACTTCACCATTCTTCCACCTAAGCGTCACCATAAATTAGATGTTCGTTCTTGCTTCAATTTTAGCAGAATTCATGTTTCTCTGATAGTTTCTTCTGAGCTGTTTTCAAAATGATGGCATAACCTTCTCAGTGCCTCCAACTAGATTCTGTTCAGACATGCCATAATAAGTTAATATGAGTTCATTTGGTGGAAAATAAATCGAAATCTGTACCTAGTTTTTTCATACTAAGCATTTTTCTATGAAGACCCCTAACATATTGTGACTTCTTATTTCTCAAAGAGCCATCTGTTCTCAGAGGCTGGTTACCAATCCTGTGGTTTTTCTCAATGGATCTAAATCTTGGAAGAAAACTCTGAAGTCTGGTCCAATATTACAGAGGAAACTATGGGCAGAGCTGAAGAACCAAAGAAAAAGGATAAACTAATTTTTAAAAATGTTTGACCCAACAACAGGAATAATCATAGTAGTAATAAATAAGAACTAAAATTACTGTGAACCTACTGTGTGCCAGGCATTAGGTTAGGTTCTTTAAGAAATAGTTTCTTTAATCCTGACAGAAACTTCTAGAACCAGGCCTAGCAAATGTTCATAACATACACATGGACCTCATCAGCTGGAATACATAGAAATCAAATTGACCACATCTGCAGAAAGAGAAGATGGAAAAGCTCTATATCATCAGTCAAAACAAGGCCATGGCCAGACTGTGGAACAGACCATCCATCAATTACTCATATGCAAGTTCAAACTGAAGCTGAAGAAAATGAAAACCACTTCAACGGGAGCCAAAATATGACCTTGAATATATTCCACCTGAATTTAGAGATCATCAGAAGAACAGATTTGATACATTAAACTCTAAAGACCGAAGACCAGAAGAGTTGTAGGATGACATCAAGAGCATCATACAGGAAGAAAGCAAAAAGTCATTGAGAAGACAAGAAAGAAGGAAAAGGTCAAAACGGATGTCATAAGAGACACTGAAACTGGCTCTCCAGCGTAGAGATGCTAAAGCAAATGGAAGAAATGAGGAGGTCTAAGAGCTGAACAGAAAATTTCAACGATCAGCTCGAGAAGATAACGCCAAATATTACAACAAAATGTGCAAAGATCTGGAATCAGAAAACAAAAAAGAGAAAACTCGCTCAGCATTTCTTAAGCTGGGGAAACTGAAGAAAACATTCAAGTCTCGATGTTCATTATTGAATGATTCTCTGGGCAAATTATTGAATGATGCAGAAAGCATCAAAAGAAGATGGAAGGAATACACAGAGTCACCGTACCAAAAGGAAATGGTTAATGTTCAACTGTCTCAAGACGTAGCAAATGATCAAGAGCCAATGATACAGAAGGAGGAAGTCCAAGGTGCATTGAAGGAATTGGCAAAGAACAAGGCACTAGGACTTGATGGAATCAAAATTGAAATCTTTCAAGAAAGTGAGGTGGCACAGGAGGCACTCACTCATCTCTGTCAAGAAATTTGGAAGACAACTATCTGGCCAACTGACTGAAAGAGTTCCGTATTTGTGCCCATTCCAATGAGAGATGATCCAACAGAATGCGGAAACCATCGGACAATCTCTTAAGATATCCCATGCGAGTAAAGTTTTACTTAAGGTAATACAGAAACGGCTGCAAGCATACATTGACAGAGAACTTCCAGAGGTTCAAGCTGGATTCAGAAGAGGCTGTGGAATGAGAGATATTATTGCTGATGTCTGATGGATCTTGGCTGAAAGCAGAGAATATCAGAAAGATGTTTATCTATGCTTTATTGACTATGAAAAGGCTTTCGAATGTGTGGATCATGACAGGCTATGGACACCCTTGCGAAGTATGAGTATTTTGGAACACTTAATTGTGCTCATGAGGAATCTGTACCTGTACCAAGAGGCAGTTGTTAGAACAGAACATGGGAACACTGAATGGTTTAAAATTAAGAAAGTGTGCAACGAGGATGTATTCTTTCACCATACTTATTCAACCTGTATGCTGAGCATATAATACGAGAAGCTGGGTTCTATGAAGAAAAATGTGGCATCAGGATTGGAGGAAGACTCATTAACAACCTGCGATATGCAGATGAT